TTAACCTCTTTACGCTTTATGTTATTCACTGGGCTTTAGCTCACTGCTCATATATATATGTAGGTGTTCAGGCACCAGATTGAAGCTAGAGGCGTCAGGGTTACTCCAGTTTTGTCAAGCCAGCCTATGTGCCTCACTGCGAGGTTCCGAGCCTATCTGTTAAGGCTTAGGGGTGTTTTACAATTCCCCCCTTCTGAACTGTCTTACCGTTCTGTATAGACTGAATGTTTATCGTACTGTTATGCAGGGATTAAGTCCCTAGTCTGAATAATTGTAAATGTTGTGCATACTGTTCTGTACCGTTATGTATGAATGTATGAAAAATCTTTTTGGCATACAGATTGTCATAGCTCGTTGGGCATTGTTTCTTTACTGTATTGGCTTCCGCCAGGCCCTGTACTCTGTTTTACTGTACTACTGTTCTGTAGGCCTTCGGTAATCTCGGATTACTGGCCGGTTACGGTGCTAAACCCATAGGGCCGGGTTTGGGTCGTGACAGTAAAGCTGCAAAAGATGAAAAATAAAGAAAGAATGACAGGTGCATGATGTGAATCCATGTTACAATAGCAACATAAAACACATCAAAATGACACGGACATACTGAAATAGCAAATTCTAATAAAGTAAGACTTGGGCACAGGAAGAGAGTGCAGAATTTAGGACATTTTTTAAATGTATATGTATTTCATATAGACAAATCTACAATTTTTGTTGATTTGTTCAAATTTCTAAAACAAAATTTGCACAAAAAAAAAAAAAAAAAAGATAGAAAGAAAGAAAAGCAGAAAACTCAACCTATATCACTTTAAATCAATGGGTTACTACTCTTTCCATTATTACAGATTTTTTGCTTACAACTGCATTCTTTTCTATTTTATAAAATAAAATAAAATAAAATTGTTCATTGCATGCTTGTCGTGCTTTGACTATGCATAAAACTTAAAATTTCTCTTGAATTTAATCCGGATAATTCTGGGCCTCTGTCAAGGCTTAGTTTGGTTTGATTTGGTTATTTCGGGATCTTGGTATCATGTTTCCAGAATGCAGAGTATCTTGTCCCAAACAACATGGTTCCTCCTAATACAACTTCATGCCACACAAATGGGGGCAAACAAATACTCACAACCATAACGTTTGCTGAACATTCAAGACAAAAATTTCAAGAAATTTGGATGACTAAGAAGGAATATATCAAGCATCTCCATTCAATTTATTCCCAAGTGAGCACCTAGAACAGAGTTAGTCCACAGCACAATTCACACTACTTTTAGGCTGATCTTAAATTGACTAGGTGAATAAAGATAACCCTTTTTTTTTTCTTTTTCTTCTTTTTTTTTTTGGTGGAGCTGTTATACAAAAATCACATATGTTGTAAGGAAAAATAAATGCCATATTATTCATTGCAGGATTGATGTCCATTGTCCATCATTTATCCCTCACTAGCATCAATTCAGCCTATTCTCTCATCATTTATCCTTTTTTTACTTTATCTCCTCAATTTATTTTATATATAAATTCAAAAGTAAATAAACTGGTTTACATTATTTTAATTTGGCCCAACGCCAAAAATAAGGTTTAGCTAAGTTAACACTTTTACAGATCAATAGCATAACCTTAAACCACAGTGCATATGTTTCTAAAATGTTTGTCAAAAAATAAATTCATTCATCAATTCTAACTTCTGAGAAAACAAATCCAGCACCACATGCTCTCTGATCCTTTTCTGCAGTGTTCTTAGTGAACTACAGTACATTTAAATCAAGATGTAGAATCAACAGTTGCACTCAAATATAGCATGACCACAAACATAGCAGCAAAGCAACAAAAGAAAACATGTCATCTTCAAATGAAAAATATATATTAGAATCATCTACAAAGGCACCCGAGGGAAAAGGATTACTGAAAAAGACTTACCTCCCTCGCTGCATCAATAGTTTTGGAAACAAATGTTGAACCAAATACACATTCCATAGCACTCTGCAACACATATAAACTCTCTTTAAAAACAAAATATAACTAACCCAAGCCAAAGTTCTTTTATCCAACCAAAAACAAAATCGCACGAATGTGAATAATATTTTGGCCCATCCATTGCTGATGAACATGACTTACAATGATATAACATTAAGAAACATTCCAGCACACACAATTGAATTATACCTTCAGTTCCTGATCGTATCCAACCAGAGACAGAGCCACTTCTGCATTCCCCTTGCCAACCTGAAAATGTAGGATAATAACCTTCTGACAAACACAAACAAATACGGGAGATACAAAAATATAATGAAAGCCAAATACAGAGACAAACCAATCTAACAGAAGACCAAAAATAGATTGAAAAAATTGAAAATAGTTAGATTGAAAAACAAAAAGATCAAAGTCAATGAGATTCTATTGAAAAGAGAGCGGACCAAAAATAGCAAGGGAAAAGATTAAAAAGAGTAAAATTCGAATGAAAAGAGGCCAGATCGAAGATCTAATGGAGCAATAGAGAGAGAGAGGACTTGAGGGATGGTAGCGACGGGAGAACCAAACCTGAGGAGGACCTTCAACAGGTAGAGCGCATCCAATGCCATAGCGCTTGAGCTTTACTTGGAACAGAAAAGCCTATCATTTCATCGGTTGGTTTCCTTTTGCTCCGATTGGATCGGTCTCGATCACGATGATCTTGATCCTTTTTCATTCCTCGGTCTCGTAACCCCGCCGATTTGTGCTACTCAACCGAACCATCTTCCTCTACAAAATCATCAGAATCAGAATCAAGAAAACCAAAAAACCATCAAGAAATTTCAACAAAATCGATGCAAGAATCGATGGATTTAGAATTAGATCTGAACCCTAGTGAATCTCTCAAGGAGCATGAGCAGGTAGAGAAAACAATAGATCTAGGACGGAGATAGAAAATGATAGAGAAAATGGAGAGAGAAAAAAAATGATGGAAAGAGAAATGGGGGCAGAGGGAGACGGAGCACCGTTATAAAGTGAAACACGCGTGTCTTTAATTTCACTTTAGCTCTTGCACAGCGTTTTTCATAAAAACATTGTCTAAAAAACGTGGTTATAGGCCAATTTTGTTGTAGTGTGAGTGGATTGATAGATTAAAGAATATTCTAACCAATTATCAAACATTTGCATAATATATAACACTAATTTATATAATATTTTTCATATACATAATGTGTGTGTTGTTTTCTTACCACACTGCCAAACAAGTACTCAGCTAGAGAACACCGGCAGAATAGATTGAGCCCGAACGACCTGTCACAGAAAGATAAGACTCCGGCGGTGGTTCGTCCACCCGGGGACACTCCGACGATCAAGTCAATACTCAGTTATCTCTCAAAGATAATAATTAGTACTTAACTCACTAGCCAGAATACAAAAAGCGTACTTTAGACCCACGAAGGTGCCTTACTTTTATAGCCAACACTGACATGATCTCTGTAGAAGCCTAGCTTCAATGGACTCTAGTTCAATGCTTATTCTGGACTCCCAATTAGATAGAGATAAACTCTCTAAGAGCTTTATCTTTATCCATACTGAGGTCCTCCCCTATTCTAGGACTCTTATAACTTATCCGTTTATCCCGGACTCCGACATCTTCGCAGATAACCTTGGCCTAGCCGAGATCATCTCGGCATCATGTCCAGGACACGTGGCACCTCGGCTGGCACTTCGGTGCCATCCTGGCCACGTGTTGCTACTCACAAAATATGTCCCCACAACTGCCCCCTAGGTTTTATTACCTCGGCATCCTGAGGTGATAGATCCTATATCATTTGAACCTATAGCACGTCGGCTAAACTTGCTCTATCCTTCATTTCTGAGGTCATCATTCGTCGGCTTCATATGACCAAGACTTGTAGTCTGTTTAGAACCAAGGACCAACTTTTCCAAGTTTCTTTAACCGAGATCGTTCCCTTAGCCGAGGTCTTTGCCTCATTAAATCAAGAACTCTAAGAGTTTCAACACGCGTATGAGCTGTCACGCATAGTAATTCAACTGTTTTCTCCACGCGTCCTTTCCCTATTGAATCGTACCTGATACGCTCCATCAAGTCGCGTCGCATTTGCGTGCGCCGCCTGACAGACACATCGTCCTAGGCACACTAATTGTGTTTTTGCCGTCTTTTCGTGTTTTGATCATAAACACTTCCCTCTCTCTTTGCCGTTTCACTTTTGTATTTTCATCTTCTCCAAACTTTCTCTTTCTAACACTTATCTCCCAAATCCTCCATTTTCATTCTCTTGAAGCTTTCTGCAACTGCTTTCATTCTCTTCTTCCGGCGAGGCATTCACCGTCTTGTTACTTGTTCCACCGTCACTCAACTTCGGCATTCATTTCATCGGCGTCACTCTTCCTGGTAAGCTACTGCTTCCCTTCGTTTCAATTTTTTGTTTTACTTCAAACTTTGTTATGCTTGTATACTGCCATTGCAAATCTGTTCATGCTCTTCAGTAGTCATTTGTGTGTCGAATTCCACCATTCGTCATCTGTTTCATGATTCTGTTTTTGTACAATCTGTTGCTGGTATACACACACACACACACATGCTGTTTATATATTTGACGTTTTTGATAGCTTGTCACTGTTCTTGATTTTGCTTTCCAGGTTCTAAACCAAATACATACTTGTTATTCTACCACTGTCCTTGGCTTTGTATATCTATACATGTTTTGTAAAATGTTCTTGAATTCTTGTTTGTCTTCTTAAGTCTGAATCATGTTCTTGTTTCTGTTTTCTTGTTGCATTTTGCCAGATTCTTGCCTCCAATTTCATGTTTCCACATACATTTTAGGCTTGGGTTTTGATAGAAGCCACTATCCCTAGGAAAATTTGAACAAATTTCCCTAGATCTTAAAAAGCCCTTGCCCTTACTTCTGTTATGAGTTTAAGTCGAGGTACCTTAAACCTTAACAAACCACTTCCTTCTGAAATCCAACACCTTCCCTATTTAGCCGACGTTATGGGCATGTTCAGGTGGAGGGTAGACACCCTAACTAAGCTAGAATACTTTAGGCAGGAGTTTGCTATCCCTGCCGACGTTCATCTCAGGTTGGCTGGAGAGGAGGATTCTATCATGTTGACATCCTCTTCTGAGAAGTCATTCACTACTATAAACTTAACCCGATGCAACTAGCCATTAACTCTTATCAAGTCATAAACGGTATAATTGCTTTAGCTAGCCGAGAAAACGCTAGGGTAACTCTAGCCAACATCCAGTACTACTACACCATGTGTGGCCTTAAGTTAGAAAAAAAGCTACATTTACTACCTTAAGCCGAGATTCACAAAATACAAACTCGTCGCCGACCTCCCAAACTCCAACAAGGGTGCTGGAGACAATTATTTTATCGTCTCGGGCAACTGGGAGTTTCCTCCAGAGGATGACCTTCACCTCTACCCTTTAAGCCATATAGTGTTCAGAGAGGGAGATGGTAAGAGCCAAGTGTCACTTTCCTTGCTTTCAAGTCTGTATTACTGTTATTTCTCTTATATGTTCTAATGGTTTATTGTTTACTTTGCAGCCCTTCCTCAGCCACCCAAGGACTTCCGCAAATCCTTTCACCCAAGCAAAAAATTCAGGAGGCTACTGGACTTGCTTGTTAATCAGCGCAGGGCTCCTCTGCTCCTAAATTACATGCCAACTTATAAATCCGTCCTCCCCGACGTCCCAAAGAAAAGCAAGTCTCCTCCTTCTGCTACAACTCCTCAAGCCGAGTCATCATTAAGGCCTGACCAGGGATCAACCTCTGACCCAGCAGAATAACCATCAACCTCTGCTCCACAAATGATTCCACCTTCTCAACGCCGACGCCGACGCTGACATCGAGCTCCACTGCTCGCACCAGCAGGCAGGACTCGTAGCCGAAGACGCCAAAGTGCCGAGACGTCCTCTTACGATCCAGCCAACCCATCAACTGTATTTCTAGCGATCCACCTTGACATTAAAGTTACTGTTGCCATTACCGCCGACGAAATGGGGCGACAAAAGGCCATTGTTGAAGACCTTCTTGCCAACATCCCCAATGTCGTCACAGTTCAGTCTTCCCCTTCCCAGTCTCAACCCAAACAGAAGCCAAAAAGGCTGAAGAAAGCCCAAGCCAAGGCAACGATGACTCAGATCGATTCTGAGGACACCTTGCCAATCTCAAAAATGGCTGAGGCAAAAAAAAGTGTCTCTGCTGCCGAAAAGAGGCCCGCAGAGGCTCCTTCCTCCGAATCCACCCAGTCAAAGAAGTCGAGGTTAGAGTCTGCTACAACCTCGGGGTCCCTGAAATCTGATGCCCCCTAGGCCCCTCCAATCACCATCGAGGACAAGCCAATCAGAGTCGGCAACAGCGCGACTAACATTGAAGTCGGCGTTACCCTCTCTACTGCCTTGCTCATTCCCAAAGACCTCGAACGCAATGTCGAGGTTAGCGAATACGAAAATTTCACCCTGACGTTGCAGCACTCTGTACAAGTAAGCCCCTAATACTTGGTACTCTTTGTTTTTTCCATACTTAGAGAGTTTTATTAACTTTTGTTTTTTCCATTTCTTCTAGGCGATCCAGCACGCCCACTCCTTCGCGATACAAGCCTTCGACATTAAGAAGCAGTTGACCCGCAAGACTAAGGAGGCCATTGGCTTGCTCAAGACCATCAATAAAGCCGAGGCCAAGATGAAGACATTGATAGATCAGGCTAAGGTAGCCAAACAGGCCCAAGACGAGGTCGATGAAAGCTGAGACTGTCGCTGAGGTCCTCAAGGTCGAGAAGAAAGATGCCGAGGCCAAAATAATCGAAGCCCAAGCCAAACTCCGAGATGCCTTGGCCACCAAAGTTGTCGAGATCAAAGCGGCGGACGAGAAGGCCTATGCTGAGCGGGCAGCCGACGTCCGCGAGGACTACAAAAAACAAGTCAAAGAGATATGCAACAAGGGTTTCACCCTTAGTTGGATGGCCGCTCTGAAGGAGTTGGCTATCGCCGAGGACTCTCTTCTGAGGGACGTAGGCCGACTTGTGCTGCCATTCCCATCCACTTCAAGCTAGTCTGAGGCTAAGGCTGAGAAGGAAGAAGAAGAGGAAGAATGAGAGGAAGCCGAAGACGACGAGGCCGAGGTGGCTGTTGCTGAAGATCCTGCTGGGGCCAAGTCCCCAACTCTGAATAAGTAAGTCCTAGACTTGACTCGAGATGAAGAGGGCGAGGTCTCAAAAGGTGCCTCCCCCAAGAAGACAACATCAGAGGTGCCAATCGTCGATAAGAGTATTGATCAGACTCTACGAGAGATCAATACCGAGCTCGAGGTTGAGAAGGCTGCCAAGAAGATCCCCAATTATCTTCTGGGGCCGAGACACAGCCCGCCACCAACGCTGAGTAGTCTTACTATAATCTTTTTCTTTGTACTTAGTAATTTTCTGAACAATGTTTTCAGTTTTCATATTTGGCCGACGTGCCGCTTTTGTAATCTAAACAAGTAGTCTCTTTGTAGGCCGAAGTACCCTTTTACTTCTTTTAATGCAAGTACAATTTCTTCTTTCAAGTGTTTATATGTTTCCATACTTAGAATAATTTGCATGTCTTCAAGGTACACCTTAACTGTGCAATTTCCTCGGGGTAAAATACTTCGGGGAT